ACACAGTCAAAGGCTTTTGCATAATCAATGAAGCAGAAGTAGATGTTGTTCTGGAATTCTCTGGCTTTCTCCATAATCCAGTGCATGTTAGCAATTTGGTCTCTAGTTCCTCTGCCCCTTCGAAATCCAGCTTGTACTTATGGGAGTTCTCGGTCCACATACTGCTGAAGCCTACCTTGGAGGATTTTGAGCATAACCTTGCTAGCGTGTGAAATGAGTGCAATTGTATGGTAGTTGGAGCATTCTTTGGCATTGCCTTTCTTTGGGATTGGAATGTAGACTGATCTTTTCCAATCCTCTGGCCACTGTTGAGTTTTCCAAACTTGCTGGCATATTGAATGTAGCACCTTAACAGCATTATTTTTTAAGATTTTAAATAGTTCCCCTGGAGTGCCCTCACCTCCACTGGCCTTGTTGTTAGCCAAGCTTTCTAAGGCCCACTTGACTTCTCTCTCCAGGGTGTCTGGCTCAAGGTCAGCAACTACATTGTTTGGGTTGTCCGGGATATCCAAATCTTTCTGATATAATTCCTTTGTGTATTCTTGCCACCTCTTCTTGATGTCTGCTGTTTCTGTTAGGTCCCTCCCATTTATGTCCTTGAATGCTATTATTATCTCTGATCAGTGATGCACAACAAGAGTTAAATAGTTGGGCTTCCCGTTTTTTTTTTTTTTAAACTTGTTCCTGTCAGAGCAGACTATTTTCACTCAGAATAGTTCAACAAAATTATGTTCAACAAAATTATGCAGATGCTTAGTTCAACAAAATTAGAATAGTTCAAACACATCAAGTAAAAGAAAAATTGTGCCCCACTGTCCTTAAGGAGAAGATACCTCTACAGGAATATGGTTACAGCTACAAAAACAGTTGTAAAATTGCCTAATAATTGGAATGCAGTTGGCATTTACTGGCCCCTTCGCTCCCCAAAATGCCCTCCAAAGGCCACTCCTGAGCTCTAAGGGACACCCTGGAGGCATGTGGTTGGTTGTGCACAGCCGGAATCAGTGGGGCGATGAAATCAGAAGAATTTAGCAGGACGGCTGTGAGCAACTGGAAGTACCGTTCTTCTCATGCAAAACATCTCTAGATTCAAATATGTACTTTGGGATTTTAAATTCTTGTAAAGATTTGAGCTGGCTATTAACCACTGAAACTTAAGATTGTCTAATTATATGATATGGTAAATATATGGTTTTGTTGTCACGGAGTTGTTCTGAAGGCATTAATTGTGGTCTGTGCTTGGAGAGATTGGGGGTGCAGTCAAATTCTTATAAGGGATACTCTTAGACTCATAACATCTCACCCTGGTTTTTCAGTCTAATTTATTCTCA